GAAGGACAGAGAGAGAGAGAGAGAGATAGAAAACAAAATAAAAGAGGGAAAGAGTGAGAGCGAGAGAGAGAGAGAGGAGCCTAGTGTAGGTTACATACATAGCAGATGAGAGATACAGAGCGAGAGGAGATATAGAGAGAGGGGGGGGGAAAGAGAGGCAGAAGGAGAGTCGCCTTGCGAGGTGCGCAGCATCCTCATAACCGCCCGTACTGGGCACAACAGGAGTCGCCAAGGTCATTGCCAAGTCCGACTGCGCGGCCCAGGGTCTGCGCGGAAACGGGAACAGCCAGGCATGCCGTCCTCTGGTGGTACGAAAACATCAGGATGGGGAGTGAATTGTTGATTTGGGATGACCGTTGCTCCTGCCCGCGGAGGGTAGGCTTACAGCTGGTGTGTCAGCGCCCATCTTTGGAAATCTCCCACATGCTACCATCGAGGGCATCTCGAATTGAAATCTTCGAACATCAGCTCCCGACCTCTCGACAGACGTCCCTACCACGACTCGTCACCACCAGCGCCGTGAAGCCGTCGTTGAACCGTCGACAGCATCCATGAGCAGAGGACCACGGGATTTGTCCTGCAGAGCGAACATCAATCGACATGCACATCCTCCAGTCGGCGGCGAGCCTGGGGGGGAAGTGAGAGGGGGTGGGCCCTCTCAAAAGACTCGGAAGCCCCCCCCCACGGCTTCCTGAGAAGTTTTCTAAGTCTTCCCCGAAGGCATAGAGAAAGGTTCTCAGAAGGCCAGAGGGCTTACGAGAAGCCCCGCCGCCTTCTGAGAAGGCCCTCTCCTTCTCACTTCCCCCCCCTCGCTCGCCGCCGATTCCCAGCACGGAGTACGACGTCCACTTGTCCCCAGTGGCGCGGGCATCACGGCTGTCACAGACATGTCGAGCATCGCGAAAAGATCCAAACCGGCGGCGGGCGAGCACCCCACGCAGGCGCTCGACACGGAGATAAGGAGGCACGATCGAGCTGGACGGTAAGCACCCTCAGGAGTCGAGGGCGGGGCGGCAAGTGTGATGGCCAACTGGGATCCACGTTACCATCTCGACCTCGCCGTCGGGCAGATGGCAACTGCCTCCGACGCAGCCGGATTCAACGGGATATCGCGGAGCGCGGTCGCGACGCCCCCTGGGTTGGATTCGATGCCGACGGTCATTGTGGCAAGCGCCCTCCGTCCCCGCCGCCGGTGCAGACGCCTCCCAGTTGGAAGCCTTCGAGCGTCAGCTCCCAGACCTACCCCGGGGCGCGTCCTGCCCTGGGGGACCCTGGAGGCAGACGTCTGGCCGTGCCGGCGAGGCGCCCCCTCCTTAGCGGGCGCCCCCGACAGCGAAACAGTTGGTTTAAATATTGCTGTTGTTGCTGTTGTTGTTGTTGTTGTTGTTGTTGTTGTTGTTGTTGTTGTTGTTGTTGCTCTTATTATTCGTATTCTTGTTATTATCATTCTTAGTCGTATTATTAGTAGTATTACTAGGGCTATTTTAACGATAAGAGCACTAATGCTACACATATATATATATATATATATATGCATACACATATTTATATCGTTCTTCGCCCGTTAACCTCCCGCGCGCCCCCCGCGCGGCCGCCCCCTCTTCGAGGGCCCGTCTGGTCAGGAGGGCGCAGCCTCCCCGCAAGGTCTCGCGGGGCCCCGCCCCGGGCGCCACCGGCAGACCTCGGGGCCCCGCCCTCCCAGCGCCTCGTCCTCTTCCTCTCCTCCTCCTCCATGCTATCCTTAAGTCGGGCGTGTCCCTCAACAGGAGAATATTCAAGAATAGTCAGCACATAGTCAGGGGACGATTTTTCGACTATTTGTGATTATTGTTTGAACATTTTTGGGATATTTTTTATTTTTCCGTCCAGGATCCGCCTGGAGGAGGACATGCCCGACCTAATGCTACCCTCCTCCTCCCCCCTTCTTTGCCTCCTTCTCGTCGTAGGCGTTCTGCGAGGCAGGCTGCTCGTGCTTCCACTAGTTGGGTTTCTTGTGTTTCAATCGAAAAAGAAAAACGGCATAAACATAAACTTTTTGGCACAAACACAGTTCCGCGCGGATTCCTTGCATCCGCGCTGGGACCCCCCAGCGGCGCCTCCGGCGCCGCCCCTGGCGCGCCTCGCGCGCCAGGGAGGGGGGTCCAGCGCAGATCCAAGACATCCGCGCGGAACTGTGTTTGTGCCATTTTCTTTCTTCAATTCAACCTGTCGGCTAATCCTCGATTCTGTCTCGAGGATAATACAGTCAAGGCGCTGCAAGAAGGAGCGCTTTGGGCCGTGGAGGGGCTCGGGTTTTTGGGCCGTTCGCTCGATTTGTGTAGTGGAACTTGTGGCCTAGACCCGCCATGGCCAGACAAGCTCCTTCGTTCTTTTTTTCTTCAGCTAGCACGATGGCTATATGGCAGTCATTCCTAGCAACGAGACTTCTCCTCCTCCTCCTCCTCCTCCTCCTCCCCTCGCCCTCCCCCTCCTCCTTTTCCTCCTCTTCCTCCTCCCTTTCCTCCTCCTCCCTTTCCTCCTCCTCCCTTTCCTCCTCCTCCTCCTCCTCCTCCTCCTCCTCCTCCTCCTCCTCCTCCCCCTCCTCCAGGTTGAGCGATCAGCGCGGTGCCATGAGCCAGCGCCGACGTCGTCGCGACCAGAATCCGTCGTGCAGTGTGTGCGCGATTTGGCATGGCGCCTTGCCCTTCCTCCTCCACCCTCGCGTGCGTGCGCGTTTTTGGGCAGCTTCGTGCACCTTCGTTCGCTGATTTCGAGCCGGGTTCAGAAGGAGGAAGAGCAGGGACGAGCATGAGAAGGAAGAGGACGACATAGGAAAGGAGTCGGAGGAGCAGCAGGCTGGAGAAACGTGGACGCCCTTGCAGAGATGGCTCATTTCGGCGATCACGGCTTCAAGGACATGCGCTCCTTCATTGCGGGCTACAAAGCCTGAGAGGGTATGCTCGAGTCCGAAACAGAGCTCTTGAAGCAAACCTGGTTCTCGGGAGGAAAGAAGGGATCCTCCTCCTCCTCCTCCTCCTCCTCTTCCTCTTTCCTCTTTTCTCTCCTTCTCTCATTCACCCCTCTCCTCCTCCTCCTCCTCCTCCGCTTCGGGCCCCCTCCGCGGGATGCTCGTTTTCGATGGCTGTGCCGAGCAGCGCTGCGGTGCAAGCGATTGTGGGGCGATTCGCTGCTCGAAGTGCGATTGTCTTTTTCAGCGGCTACCGTCGGTGAAACACACGGGCCCCTTGATTTACAAAGAAAAGCCTTGTGGCGTACACAGGCCTGTGCGCTGACAGGCGCTTTGCTTTGTGCAGGCTTGTGGGCACCGCCACCACGAGGCTTTTGATTGCTGCAAGGGTTGCATGCGCCATATGGCTTCGGCACCACAGTCAACGTTGGCATTCTACGTCCCCGTCCCGTCCCGTCCAGTCCCGCCCCGCCTCTCTCGTTTTGTTTTGTTTGTTTTCTATCTCTCTCTCTGTCTATCTTGTTTTCTGTATCTCTCTCTCTCTCTCTCTGGTTGCTTCGCGTGCCTGCGGCGGATGCGTCGCGCTACTCTCCACCGCGCCTCCCAGGACGCCCACTGTTCCCCAGAGTCTACGGACACACTCTCTGGTGGTAGCGTCTAGAAGTGAGCGCAAGTGAATGTGAACGAGTACGCGTTCCACAGTGACCCCAGTGTGGACCCCTAACAGTCAGGTACAGCGCCTGAGATGTGCACGCAGTGGGGTGCTGCTCTGATAGCCCTCGCTTTCTTTTTCTGCTTCCTCATCCTGTCTCTCCTCCTCGGGAGCGCCATGGGCAAGACCCTCCGCCGCCCGCCTCGTGCAGCGAGCGCCGGCGGCGAAGGGGCGGCTACGTTCCGCATCAGTTTAGGCACTGTTTCGGGGAATCGCACTCGACGGCGGTGAGGGGCAGGCTGGCCCGTTCAGATCCTTGTATGTGTGTATGTATGTATGATGTATGTATGTATGTATGTATGTATGTATGTATGTATGTATGTATGTATGTATGTATGTATGCATGCATGCATGTATGCATATATGCATGTATGCATGCATACATGTATGCATGTATGCATGCATGCATGTATGCATGCATGCATGTATACATGTATGCATGTATGCATGTATGCATGTATGCATGTATGCATGTATACATGTATGCATGTATGCATGTATGCATGTATGTATGTATGTATGTATGTATGTATGTATGTATGCATGCATGTACGTATGTATGTATGTATGTATGTATGTATGTATATATGTATGTATGTATGTATGTATGTATGTATGTATGTATGTATGTATGTATGTATGTATGTATGTATGTATGTATATATGTATGTATATATGTATGTATGTATGTATGTATGTATGTATGTATGTTTGTATGTGGATGCATATGTATATGTATATGTACACGTGTATGTATGAAAGTGTGCATGCATGCATGCACATGCACATACGTATGTGTGTAGGGCGATACATACGTATGTGTGATGTATGCACCTGCGTACATGCACATACGCATGCATGCGTATGTGTGATGTATGTATCTGCATGTATGCATATGTGCGTACGCGTGTGTGCAACATATGCATTCTGCATATTCGTGTTATGTTTGCATGGTTTCTTCATGCACGTATGCAAAGAGAACCTCCTTCTTTACCGCCTCGCCGGACGGTAGCGATTCCACCCCAGGGGGCGCATCGGAACGATCAAGACACAGTACTGCGTCCACGTGTTTGCTTTCAACAGGGGCGTTTTGTCGTCGACATTGCAAAGTGCGGTTTGGGAATGGAACGGGTCGCGCATCCGTCGCGAAAAGGCGAGGTGCCGATCTCGCCTCGGCGCCGCGCTTGTTTTCCCTGAGGGTGTAAAGTTCGTTCGTGGTCGGCGCGCACTTTCGCTCGCCAACTCGTCGTCAACGGGGTCGCGCGCGAGCGAACGAACTGTCGCTCTCTCTCTCTCTCTCTGCGGCGCCGCGTAGATTTCGTCTGAAAGTGGCGCTCCCGCTTGGGCGCGTCGCGTACTTTTCATTCGCCAACTTGCAGGGGGCGGAGCCGTGCGTGAGTGGGCGAATTGCCGCCCTCGCCTGAGCTTTAGGCAGAGTTCGCCTGGAAGTGGCTTTCCGGCTGGGGCGCAGCGCATGCTTATTCGCTCGTAGAATCGCATGATAGCGGCAGCTGCAGTGGGGCCGCGCGAGAGCAGGCGCAATGCTGTTCTCGCCCACACAACGCGCAGTTTGCGCGTGAGAGTGGCAGTGCTGTTTCGGCGCGGCGCATGCACCGTCTTCGATGCGCTCATCGGAAATGTGGCCGCCCGAGAGACAGCTGACTGGTGCTCTCGCTGCAGCGCCGCGCAATGGTTTTCTGACTCCAGCCCGTGTGGGGCCCCTCGCCACTCCCCCACACCAAGTCGTCGGAATTGGGACCGCCCGCGAGCGCCTCCCGATTGCTAGGTGGGAGCGCGTTCCAGTCCCAATTCAAAGTTGTGCCACTACCGATTACTATATTACGAGAAGGCGGGCAGGAATGGGCAAGACCTGCTGACTCGTGCGGCATCGATACTTAACTTGCTCTCCTGCTGCACCGTGCCGCCCAGGTTTCACACAAGAGCTCCGACGACCGACCTCGGATGATGTCCGACATTCGGCTTCGCCAATGACGACTGATGTGCCATGGCGCGTGTACTGTGTCTCGAATCAGAGTCGTTCGAAGGCAAGGCAGCAAAGTAAGTCAATGATCTTGCTTGTGATGCCAGTTTCCCCTTCGCGCGGCTTTCTACAGTGGAATCAGCTGCTTTATCGCCCATCCATGCCTCATCGATCTTTCAGATTCAGGTTTTGTCTGTTATGGAATTCTCCTTTGAAGCAAATGCAGAGACAGGATCATTCAAGCGGCAATTTATAGACAAGAGCAAGCTGCCTGCCACCCTCTCTTTTCCCTCCTCTTTGGCTTCTCCTTTCTCCTCCCTCTTCCCGCTCGCCTGATTTTTCATACCTCCACCTTCAGCTTCCTTCTCATGGGATGGCCGCTCGCAGCATCCAGGCTGCGGACTATGGCATGCTGCCTCTTCCACCACAGCGGTCGACAGGACTCCTGGCTTCAAAATTTTTCACCATCCAGCGGCCACGGGACCTCGTGGATTCATTCTGCCTGTAACCACGGCCGAAGTGCCCGCCGCATGCGCCGATGTGCCTCAACAGCAGAGTGCGTCTTCTGGCCATCCTGAGCCCGCTGCTACCGTGGAGTCTCAGGCGGGCCCCTGGCTGGGCCCCCGCCCGGGCCTCCTAACAGCGCCCGGTCCTCCCAGGCCTCCACAACGGCTGCCGCCGCCTCCAGTGGCGGCTGCACTGCCAAACCGCGCCCACACCCTGCCCTGCCGACGCGTCCCGTTTTGCTTCGCCATGCAGTGGGCGTGTGAAACGAGAAAGGGGCCTGCGCAGGCGTCCCTCAGACGTCTCGTAGTCTCAGTTCCTGGTGGGCCCAGGGGCCCGATTACGACACGTGCTAGGAATCTTCTTGTAGCAGTCGGACGCGCACTGCTGTGGCTCTTTTGGTAGGTGGATCTCTCGAGCTGTCCGCCGCCTCTGGCGGTGTGCGTTGCGAGCAGGAGCACAGCAAAGCCACAGGAACACGGCAAGGCCACAGGATCGTACTTGTGGCTTTGCCGTGTGTCTGCTCGCAATGCGCACCGCCAGAGGCGGCGGAGAGCTTGAGAGATCCACCCACGAAAAGTCTCCTTCGATCTTTTCTCGAGCGGATGTCTTGTCTCTTCCGTTGCCTGCCCCCCTGGTGTCCGGTGTCCTTCCCCCCCCTCCTCCTCCTCCCCCTCCTCCTTCTCCTCCTCTTTCTCCTTCTCCTCCTCTTCCTCCTCCTCCTCGGGGTCGTTCCGATCCGCCGCTTCTCGCGGAGGCGGCTGAGGGCCCCTGGGGCAGTCTCTGGCTGCCACGCCAGGGGCCTGCGTCCGTGCCGGTTCCCGGGGAGATCGGGATGTGCGGCAGAGGTTCGTGTCGTGTCGACACGGCGGCGATCCCGCCACGGGTGGAGCGCCGCCAGTGGTCCAGAAGCGGCCAGTATGGAGCCACCTGGCGATCGAGGAGCCGCCGATGTTCTGCCTGAGGGGGGAATTTAGCCGTGACCACCGCCTAGAGAGTCAGTTTTCGGAGCCTCGGCAGGCGGTGGATATGGACATACTCGGGTCCCCCGGGGGCCGAAATATATCCATATCCACCGCCCGCTGGGGCACCAGGACGTCGGTTCCCCAGCGGGGATATGGATAAATCCCCGCCTCGCATTCTGAGGTCGAGCGGCCCGCGCGGTGTCAGGAGCCAGCGCCGGGGTCGTCGCAGCACGAGCCTGCCGCGGCAGAGGTCGATCTCTGGAGTCCCCGTCTTGCTCCTCCTGACGGCCGACTGACTCTCGCAGCCACGTTTCTCAGGGGCAACGTCAGGGGGGACGGGCTCCGAAAGGGGGATGCATCGACCCCCGATCGCTCATGCATCGCCGATAGGTGACCGATAGCCCCAGCCTGCCCAGGAAGGCCCAGACTCGCTGTCGGGGGCCCTGTCGCGCCGTCTGATTGGCGATGTATCGCCGATTCCAGATCGATGCTTCGACCCCATGAGCCAGTCGATGTATCGCCGATTCCAGGGCGATGCTTCGCCCCCATGCGCCAGCCCCCCCCCTAACGTTCCCCCTCGCTTGTATGCTGGCCAGCCTGAGTGATTTTCCGTTCGTTGCAGCAGCCACCCGCACAGCCGCAGTCCAGGCAATGTCAGACGGCCAGAGCCCCCAACCAGGAGGCCCTTGGCTGTCCGGAGCCTTGCGCGCTCCCTGTGCCGCGCGTACAGCGCCCTCCGCCCCCCTCCGCTCCCCCGTCCGTTTCACCTTCCACCTTGAGACAGCTGTTCAATCCCTGGCGACAACGGGCGTGACCGGGCGAGGGGGGGGGAGTGGGCCGGCCACGTTACGATTCGCGTTGGCGCCGTCTGGGAATGCGGCTCATCTCCAGACGGCGCCAGCGCGAATCGCGACGTGACCAGGGGGGGGGAGGCTGGGGGCGTGGCCAGTCACGGGCGTGATCGCGAATAGTAAAAAGCGGGCTCCTGAGGCCTCCCTCCGCCTCCACCCGCTCCCCTTCACCGTTCCCGTTCGGGTCGGACGAGTGGGGGGGATGGGAGGGTGTACGACCTGCTCAGCTGGTTTCGGCTCTGCCGCCGGGCGCTTTCCTCGACATGTTGCGTGAGCTGATTCTTGATTCGCTAATACCCCCTTTTACCCCCCCCTTCGTCCAACCCGAACCTTTCCCTCCTGGATTCAAAAGATTGTCGCACCAAAGAATTTGAATGTGACGGAAGAGTGAGTGGGTCCACGATACCCTCACACACGCAATGGGTCCCAAAGGGACCCATGGTTTATGTAAAAGGAAAAGCTATCGGATTGGGGATGCAACCCGATTGTGCGGCACACGCAACCCAAGGGTCCGTCCGACGCTCGTCGAGAGGTGACCGATGCGGTCATGTGGCTCAGGCCTCTATGGTCGTTTTCTTCCTTCTCCAGCGTAGGTCCTGGAACGTATGATCTTGGTGGGCGTCAAAGGCCGCGACACCGGTCCTGTTCGATGAAGTAACTGTTCTCGGTACACTTTGCCTGAGAAGCGCGTAACGACGAAGTACTTGCTGGTGCCACTCTCCAATGTCGGTCATCGTGAAACTTCGGAGTCGCGGTGGCCCAGACCGCGTCTCGGCTTGCTTCGATATTCAGGGGGGCGAGACTGAAGGGGCGAAAGGACGCGACATTGAAGGGGAGTGTCAACAATGTTTGAGGTTCATTTTGTCGAGGGCTGGCTGCGCGGAATGACTGCTAGGGTGAGCCGATTACTCATTCTTTCATTCTAGATTGACTTGGAATTGCTGAAATGGTTCTTGTGTCCCAGATCTAGAAACAAGTGTCTCTTATGTGTATATGTATATATATATATATATATATATATATATATACAGGAGCCCACACCTGCATGAGCAACAAGAAGTCCATCCTGAGAAGAAAAACAATGTTGAACGCTCCTGGTCGCCTTAGTTGTTATGAACTTGAATTCTCAGCGGCCCTGGTGGCACTGCTGCGTATCGGATCACATAGGTTCTGCCCTCCTGAGCAGGTCGCGGCGGCGCGAGCGACAGTCTGGGACAGAATCTGTCATCGGCCATCTTGCACGGATAATGGGGAGACTGAGGCACCATGCAGGTTAAGTGAGACAGAGAGAACGTATCATGACAACGTTCGAGACGAACTACCCTCGTCAACATTAACCTCAAGGCGCGTTACGTGCGAAGTGCTTGTTGGCGCCCACTCTTCAATGTCGGTCATTGTGGAACTTCCGAGTCACGCCGGTTTAGACCGCGTTTCGGTCTGCCTCGACATTGACGGGGGCGAAGCTGAAGGGGTGGAAGGAAGCGACAGTGAATGGACGCGTCAATGACCTTGATATTCATTTTGTCGAGGGTTTTAGATTACGGCATGTGCTCGGCAAGTCGGGTGCGCTGAAGCAACGCGCTTCGCGACGCCACCCTTCGTCGTCACCACAGTCTGAAGTCTGGCTCACTTGCGGGCTGGGGAGTGGGCCCAGCACGAGCTCCTCCGCGGCTTCCTCCCAGCGCTCATTTCACACTCGTGTCCTCAAGGCGTTGCCACGGTGTACTTCTCCGCCCCCGAGTCACTTCTGCCCCCTCATGCTGGCTCACGAGACGTGGTTCGAGACGTGGTGGCACCGACGCTACAATGTGCGGCTAGGACGCAATGAGCGCCGTCGACCATATTCCCACTCTCTTGTTCATGCCTTCCCATCTCCCGCTCTCTTCCCCTCGCCACCTCCCACTTCCACTGAACTGCTCCACTCCCCTCCCACTTCTCACGCCTTCTACCTTCTACCCCTCCCTTCCCACCTCTCCAGTCTCATACCCCTCCCCACGTCGCTGACTGTCCAGCGCCTCAAAGGAGGAGCAGGAGGATGACGACGACCAGTGAGAAAACGAGGACGAGGAGAACAGGAAAGAGGAGGAGGAGGAGGACGACGACGAGGACAGAGACGACGAGAGTAAAAAGATCGAGGAGGAGGAGGAGTAGGAGGAGTAGGACACGGAGGGGGAGGACGAGGAACAAAAATGATTATGATAATGATGCTGATGATGATCATGATGCTGATGCTGATTATTGGTGATAGCGATGGTGACCATGCTGATGATGATGCTGATGGCGATGACGATGATGATGATGCCGATGGTAATGATGATACTGATGATGATGCTGATGATGATAATGATGATGATGCTGGTCATGATGATGTTTATGATGATGGCGATGATGATGGCGATGATGATGATGCTGAGGATGAAGCTGAGGATGATGATGATGATGATGCTGAAGATGATGATGCTGATGATGGTGATGATGGTTCTGATGATGATGGTGATGATGCTGCTGTCGATGATGATGCTGCTGATGATGCTGAAGTCGACTATGATGGTGATGATGGTGACGATGATGATGATGATGATTTTGATTATGATGATGATGATGACGATGCTGATGATGCTGATGATGATGACGCCGATGATGATGATGATGATGATGATGATGATGATGCTGATGCTGATGATGATGATG